GATTCAAAAAATATCATTTAATTTCCTGTCATGTCAGTAGAACCGATCCAAGAGTCTCAGTAGATAAGGTCATTGTTAAGAGAATCATTCCCCCCCTCCCACAGCCACACACACATCTAATAAGGCTGTGTGAGTAAGACTCCCCTCTGCAGACCTTGCTTTGCTCCTGGGAGGGATGCTGGAATTCCCTGCTCCACCTGCCTGAACTTGCAGATCTTCCTGGGATTCTGCTCTTGGGCCCGAGGGGCAGAAGGCAGCCAGCTTTTCCAGTCAGGTCAAATGGAGCTTCCCACACAAGTCTTCTGCTCACAGCTGCCTGCACATTTCTGGGAAGAAGTGCAAAGTCTGTAGAGCCAAAACTGTCCCAGTCAGAAATGTTTTCAATATTTTCTTCTTGGGAAAAACCACAAAAGGAATTTCATTGTCATCCTGAAGTGCAGTGAATGTGTGTGGGAGGGGAAAGGGGGGCTCTCAAGGATCCAGTGTGATTTTCAGCAAGGATGCCTAACCCTAACCCTAACCCTAACCCTAACCGCATGGCTATTCTTGGTGCCTGGGCCTACCCATCAGTCCTCCAAGTAGCCTTGAAGCTTGAGAGCATGACCTTGGCTACCAACGCTTGCTTGTACATAGATTTCACTATGTGCCTCTTGCGGTTTCAAAGCACCCAGACCCCCGAGGGCTTCATCTCCAGGCCTGTGTGTCAGCAGCAGGCGAGGGGAGGCAAGCAGAATATAGAGCCCAGGAGACATTTTGCTCTCAGCCCATCAGGGTAAAATGTGCAGGCCAAGGAGGAAGGCAACGCAGAGCAGCCCCGTCATTTTAAAAGAGACTGGACAGTCATTTGTCCCAAATGGTATAGGGTTTCCTGCCTGGTCAGGGGGTTGGACTAGATGACCTCCAAGGTCCCTTCCAACATTATTATTGTTATTGTTATTATCAGGGCTTTTTTTCTCATAGAACACCCAGAATGGAGTTCCGGCACCTTTTTTGGATGGAACCTTGTAGGGTAGGTAAGAGGGTTGTATGACATGTGTGAGTTCCGGCACCTTTTTTTTTTTTTAGAAAAAAAGCACTGGTTATTATTATTATTATTCATGAGGAAGAGAGGCAGCTCAGGTCATGGAGGCAGCACTCAGGCAAGAGAGCTGCTCTCTCAGCCACCCTTTCCTCCCACCAGGAGGAGAAAAATCACTTCACTTGTGAGGAAAGTTACTTTAAGTATGACTTGACAAATCTCTGGGAGGGCTCTCCTCTGAAGACCCCAGGACAACTCCTGGCTTCTGGGGGTCTGGTGGAAAGGAGGGCCTGTCAAGCACCTGTTTTCAGAGGATGGAAGGAAAAGCAGGGGAGCTGCTGCAGTTGTGACTGGGGGCTGGGTGAGGACTGCCCTGTCTGGATGAAGGGAAATGTGTGCAAACATGGAGCTCTTTTTCAAAGAGGGCTTAACCCCAGGGAATCCTGCAACCATTAGGGACACATTTTGCTGTTGGAGCAGAGGCAGCATTGAAGGGGGTTGCTCTCTAGTTTGGCGGGGGTGGGGACTGCCTGCAAGGGATTCCCAGGCAAGGAAATCTGGAACCAACTATCCACTCAGGGAGACCTTGGCAAGAGGGACCAGGAACCGAGGTGCAGCCTGGCTGAGAGCTGCAGTGGAAGAGAGGCCCCCAGCTGGCCGGCGTGTCTGGCCTGATCATCTCTCCACTAACAAGAAAATGCTTGCATAAGACAGTCTGGAATGCAAGGCGGCCATTATTTGATCCAGATGTTTAGCTACTTCGTTCCCCTCAGGAGGAGTTCAGTGGATGCTTCCACTCACCAGAGCCAAAGTCCAGCCCAGGAAGAGAGTAGAGCCTTTCCTGGCTGTCTTGGAGGCCTGAAGAAGAAGACCCCTCCTCCGGCCCCAGCTCAGCAGAAGGGCAGACTCAGAAGCCTGGCAATGGGAGCCTTCCCCCCCCCATGTCTGGATCAGGTTGTGTCCCTCTGCAGAAGACAAAAGGGGTCATCAGATTGGGTCCCCCCCTTATCTTCTGTGGAAAGCAATATAAAGCCAGCTGCCTCTGCATGAAGTTATCCCAGCCCAGACACTGGGACATCTAAAGAGGCTGCTGACCCATCGCCCCTACCTCTAGTTCAAGAACTGGCACTCGGTGCTGAGGCAAAGGCCCATGTAGGCCAAGAGGACTCAAACAACTGCCTTGGGGGCCACGTGGTATTGTAGGGGCCACCTCTAGGCAGGCAGGCAGCCATTAGAACAAGGGGACTCCTTGAGGGTCTCTATTGTTTGGTTTTCTCTTCCTCCTGCTCTGTACACACCAACCTCCCAGCTGCTCCTTGTTGTAATATGGAGCTGGGCCATTGCCCTGGGCTTTTTCCTCCAGATGGCTTGCTGGCTCATGCGTTTGTGTTCCTCCCCCACCCCACATCCCATTTATTTGAAAGTCTAGGCACGTCCCTTTGCCCTAGACTGGCCTGGGTAGGAAAGCTGTTCAGCCTCCATCCCCTTTCATCTTCAGAGAGGCTCCTCCTCTCCACTCCAAGGCAGCTTTGAGAGAAGCCCCCCCCCCTTCTGTGTGGGAGGACCAGTAGGGGCATCTGCTCAGGACTGCTCTGAAGACCACACATGTGCTGGGGGCCACATTCAAAATCACTTCTACAGCAACTGAGTTCCACAACTGGAGCTGTTCTGGGAAGGCAAACAACTTTGTCACCCAGGCACAGGTGGCTGTGAAAGACCACCTTGAAGTTTTGGGTGGTTGGCAGAGAGAGTCTTCCCCAGAAGGTGGCAATTCCTTGTTTTTTTCTTCATTTTCCAGTCTGCCAAATCTCACAAACCTGGCTGATTCCTATATGACCACAAGGCCAGCAAGAGGGGACCTGACGGGTGGTGGAGAGCTAATCGGAAAATGCACCAAATGTGTGGCAGGGAGGCTCAGGAAGTGCAAAACTACAAAACTACCAGGATGCCTGGATTTCTGCCCCTTGGACCTGCCCACCAAAGGAAACTTCTGCAGGAACATCTGCTTAAAAGTTTGGCCTTGCCTTGAATCCAGCTGGAGAGGGGGAACTTGGCCAATTTCACAAATATTTAGAATGCATATTCAGGGGCATTAGCTATATATAACATTTGAAAAATATTGTACCGCATCCCAGATCCCTTTTTAGGATGGAAGCACAGCATACATACTTTAAAAATGAATAAGGTGAGAAAAGGCTATTGCTAGAGCTAATCCTCACCCGGAGTGCCAAGTGCTGATGAAGAGAAAATCTTCCCTGGGGAGGGAAAAGGAAATGCAGCCCCATGGAGATCTGCACAGGCCGGCCTGCAAAAAGCCACAGCACTGGGCAACTCTGATATATCCTGCCAGTCACGTTGGGCTTCTTGCCTTCTTGTTAAATTCTGCAGATTAAAAACATAGACCTACCCTGTCTGCATCCTGGCTGGGGTCAATGGTAAAGATGATAAATCTTAGTTTCTTTCCCTCCTAACTGCATTTTGCCTGGCATTGCCCCACAGTAGCGACTCCTTCCTTACTTTCTCTTCCCCAGGCACTCAGGCCTTGACTTTTACAGGAGACCCCGAGCAAAGGCCCTTCTAGGCTTTGCTTGTGACTTGCTCAGAACCAATCCGATTAATCAGATGTCATCCTGACCTGACCCAGGACATTTTATCATCTACCAGGAAGAAAGTCTGGCTCCAGGGCTAGAGAAGGATCCTTTTCCTTCTCCAGAAACGATGATAAAAATGTTTGCAGCTGAAAGGAATGTTAGAGGGTGAAATGCTGTTTTGGAATAATGCTGCAAATGTTGCTGAATTGCTAGGCTGACAGGCACCTAGGAACCTTCAATATGTTTTGAAACCCTAAAAGTATTTTTGTATCCTAATCAGTAAGGCTGGGTTAAAGACCTAAAACAACAATAATATTGTTGCGTTTTAAAAATGCAAGATTTGCAAAGTTCCTCGCCTGGCACTTCTGACCACGAAGCAAGGCGGAAAGCCAGCGTTCAACAGCGCCGCCCCACACGGAGTGCGAAAGAGCCTCGCGCGGACCACGGACCGCCCTCCTCCTCCTCCCGGTTGGCTCCCGCGCGCGACTCCTGCGGGGGACGCGGGCCGTCGGGAATCCCCGCGTGGGCGCCGGCGGCAGCTTGCCGGCTTTCCACGGGCAGCCGCAGCTCGAACGGGCGGAGCGCACAGGCAGGCTCCTGGTCTGGGCAGCGCTGCCCTCGCCGGAAGAGAACCGCTGCTGGGCGACGCGAGCGCCTCCCCCGCAGCTGAGCCGGGCTGCCTCCGCTGACCGGTCCGGGCTCCGAGACCCCCGAGCTCCGCGCTGTCATTGTCGGGACTCCCAGCCCTTTAAGGCCAGGGCCGTTCCGCCCCCTCTCCGCCAATCCCTCTCTCCTGTTCTCTGGGGACCCCGCCCTTTGGGGGGCGGAGCTAGCCTCCTCCCCTTCCCCATTGGCTACGTAGGTCCGTTTTTTAAAAATCCTTGGGCCCCGCCCTTAGCAACTGCATTCTCTCCTGCTCCGGGATTGGCTGCCGCGGGACCAATGACGTCCGCTCTTTACAAATGTAGCAATTTTCAAATTCCCATTTTCTGCAGCGAAGAAGAAGAAAGCGGCGGCGGCGGCGGCGGCGGCGGCGGCGAGTTTTCGCAGCGGCTTCAGCTCCAGGTGAATTTTGCTGGGGGGGACCAGAAGGGCCGCTTTCAGCCGGCGAGAGCCCTTCGTCTTCGCCTCCCTGAGCACCGCCACGCGGTTGGGCCTCGGGTGGTCAGGCCGGGTCCTGGATCTCCTCCCTTGGCCCACCGAGAGGAGGCGTCCGGACGTCATCTGCTCCTCCGCGGGGGTCCCAGCTCCCCCTGAAGTAGCTGTAGGGAGGCCCGTCGGGAGAAGCGAGGGCGAAATTCCTTGCCAGAGCTGCCCCGCGGGGAGAAGCAGCGCTTCCTGTCCCAGCCTGTTTCTCCCTCCCTCCTGCAGCCCTGCGCCGGGAGGCCCTCAGCTGAAACGATGCCCCCTGCGCGCAGCTCCAAGGGCTTGGGTAGCAAGCAGGCCCGTCTCGGCCGAGGACCAGGGGTGGAAAATGTGCAAGCGGACAAGGTGAGCAGAGTCCACCCCAGACAACAGGCGCACCAACCGCATACGTGTGTGTGTGTATGTGTGCGCGTGTTGGGTCAGAAATTCCAGCCCTGCAAAAGCAATTCAGTCACTCCGTGGAGGGCGCCTCTTTAGAGGAAATCTGCCTTTGGCCTCAGGTGGCCTCGTGCTCTGAAGAGGCCAGGTGGCTCTGCTTTCCAGACGCCCCAGTATGACCAGAGGAGAGCCAGACACTGCATGGAGTGACCTCCCTCTTTGATTCTAGGAGGAGATTTCTCAGGCAAAACGATCCCCCTCGTCACCCCAGGGGGCACCCAAGAAGCGATCAGCCTTTGGCGATATCACCAACGTAAGAATGGGTTCTTGTGTGTTGACCGCAGGCTGCTGGCCATGCGGTTGTCCCTTGCCAGCTGTGAAGGCAGCTGCTCCTGCTGCCTTTGATCGCTCAGCAGTTCTGGGACGTGAATTCCAAGCAAGCACCCGCTTGGTCTGGGGGAGTGCTCAGCAGCTTCTCTGGGTCTCCCCTTACAGGCTCACAAGGCCCAGGGCTTTGCGGGGAGGAAGGAGCCCGAGAAGATGATTCCCAAAAAGGCCTCCAAGGGATCCGCTGCGCTGAATGTGGCCAAGAAGAATGAGATCAACCTGAAGAAGTGAGGGCTGTGGTGCTGCCTCCCCTGCCCATGTGACTTTCCTGAGTGGGCCAGTGTCCCCATGGCATCTTTCGGTTTCTGGTGGCTTCAAGGTGCATTTGTGCAAGGAGGGCAACATCAGTGCCCTCTTTAAACAAGAGCCGTGCTGGCACAGCTGCCATTCCGTTCTCAGCCTGAACGCAACCCCAAAGTTCTCACCTTGAACTTTGGCAGAGCTCAATTTGGCTGTGCCAGGGTGTCGTTAATTGAAGCGGGGAGGCCGGGGATCCTCAGGAGCCCTACCAATCTGGAGATTGTCTCCAGCCTGCCCCAATTTCTAACCCCAGCTGGCCTCTTACAGGTCCCTGGACAAAGCACCCTCTGAGGAAAGTCCGGCTAAGCTGAGCCATGTGGTCAATGGTGGCCTCGGAGAGAAGCAGGTTGACCCACTGGTAGTGGTGGTGGCACCAGCAGGCCTGGTAGGAAAGAAGTGCATTTGTGTTTCCCTCTGGCAGGGCCTGCCTCTGGGGCACATGGCTCCCTTGTGGGCCAGCAGTCCTGGCACCTTGGACACGGGGCTCAGGGCATCATTTCTGGGAGGCCCTGGGGCTACATTGACAGCCTGAGACTCGGTCTTTGCCTTGTGGCTGACCCTGCAAATGGGGGGGGGGAGTGGGCGCTTGTGGAAAGCAGGTATTACAGGCTGCATGCCAAGGGCTCCCCCCCCACTTTAGGGCCCAGGTGGCTCCTGCCCTCCGTCCCCCCCAACCCCTAAGCAGGGCAATGTTTTAAAAAGTCTCTCTTGTCCAGGTGGCTCCAGTTGAGGATATTGACAAGGGGCAGCTGGACGACCCCTATGCCAATGCCGAGTATGCCAAGGACATCTTCGAGTACATGCAGGAGCGAGAGGTGCCTGCCGATGCCCAGGGGAGGGTTGCCCTTCCTCCGCCACTCCAGATTCAGGATTCAGTTCCACTGGGCCGTCCGGAGAAGAGGGCGGAGCAGGGAGTGTTGACATGAAAGCCCACTGTGGCCTCTCACCCTCTGAGCAGAGGCACTCCTGGGGCTGCTTCCAGGGGGATTTCCCTCCCTGAGAGGGGAGCCTCCCTCAGCAACACTGTCCTTTTTCAGAAGAGCTTCCTGCTCCCGGATTACATGAAGAGCCAGCCTGACATCACCATGGACATGCGGGCCATCCTGGTGGACTGGATGGTGGAGGTGCAGGTGAGGGTGGGCGAGAGCCTTGGTGGGAGGGAGGTCCTATAGGAGGAGGGCTGGGTGGGGGTGGGTTTGTGTGGTTGTGACTCGGCGGGAGTCCCTTCCAGCCTCCTTGAGCTGCTTCTGTGGTGATCGAGGGTCTCCTGCTGTGTCCTGAAAGGGGGTTCTGGGCCTTGAGAGGGAGGAGACGTTTGGCCATCAAAGTTGCCTTCCAGCCGGCAGGCTGGACTCAACACCCCTTTGCACCTGCAGGAGAACTTTGAGCTCACCCACGAGACCCTCTATTTGGCGGTCAAGCTGATGGACCACTACCTGGTTAAGGTGGGGGCCATGAGGGACAAGCTGCAGTTGATTGGCTCCACCGCCATCCTCATTGCCTCCAAGTTTGAGGTGAGCCCCCATAGCAGTGGGTCAGGAGAGGCATTGTCCTCGCTTGGTGACCTTGAGTGGCGGAGAGGTGTTTGCTTCCATGTTACTTGAGAAGCCCAGCGTGGAGAGGACACCTTTCCAAGCTTCTGGAGCAGATTATCCAAGGGGGTCTGGAGCCCCCTGAGTCTGCTCCAGTCACCCCAGACCTGCCTGTCTGAACTGGGTACCTGCTTCGGTGCTACCACATCCTAGATATTTACTTTGGGCCTTTGTTCTTTGCTGCAACCGTTACTTTTCAATGCCTCTTAAAATGATGGAGGGAATGCTCTGAAGGTGGATATGGGGTGTGTGTGTTTCGGTATGTTTAATGGCGTTTTCTGGACATTAGTTTAGTGGGTCCTGACTACAGAGCATTTGAAAGCCACCGCCTAGTGCGTTGTCCTCCTGGGCGCAACCTCCAGGCACTCCTGACCCCAAATTCCCCCCCCCCAAAAAAAAATCAGCCAGGAAGGAATTAAATGGGCTGGGCCAGTGCCAGGGGTTTCCTCCCAGGGAAGGTGGCAAACCCTTTTGAAAAGACCAAACAACCCCCTTCCCGGGCAGCTCCCGATCTTCTGCTAGAGCTTCCTCTCTGCAGGAGCGCTGCCCCCCCTGCGTGGATGACTTCCTGTACATCTGCGATGATGCCTACCAGCGGGAGGAGCTGCTGGCCATGGAGATGAGCATTCTGCAGACCCTCCACTTTGACGTCAACATCCCCATTGCCTATCGCTTCCTGCGGCGTTTTGCCAAGGTCAGATGGGGATGATGGGCCTGGGAGGCCGAAGCAGAAAAAGGGATCTGCTTGTGGGCATCAGAAGCTGCCCTTTGCTTAGCTGGCTAAGAGAGAGCCCCGCACCTGCTGGGCAGAGAGAAATGGGCAGAGGGGCACCAGGTGCTTCTTGGGGGGCCCCTCCGTGCCTTGCTCACAGACCTGTTCCCTCCAGTGTGCCCGGGCTACAATGGAGACCCTGACCTTGGCCCGTTTCCTCTGTGAGCTGACCCTGCAGGACTACACCTTTGTGCAGGAGGGGGCTTCCCGCCTGGCTGCCAGCTGCCTCCTGCTGGCTCTCAAGATGAAGAACCTCAGTGGATGGGTGAGGATCGCCCTCCCCCCACTTGGAGCCATGGGTGTCATGTCACCAAAGGAGAGATGTGTGCAGGGAGGAGGAAACAGGCAGAGCCATGCCCAGCAGAAGGGAAGGGAGCTGCTTTCGCTTTGTGGCTCTGATGGTGGCAGAGAGGGCAGGTGACTCCTGGGGGAGGCGGAGGAAGCAGAAAGAAATAAGGATTAGGGCCCAAACTGGGCAAGTGAGAAAGGGGAGCCGTGTCTGGGGATGGTTCCCCTCCTGTGCCTGCCAGACGCCCCTCGCCCCAGTGCAACTCTTCCCTTATGTCTTGGCAGAGCCCAACGTTGGAGTATTACAGTGGCTACCAAGTGCCGGACCTTCTCCCTCTGGTCAGGAGGCTCAACTACCTGCTGATTTGCGGCCAGGATGACCGGCTCAGGGCCGTGCGCAACAAATACTCCCATCGGTGAGTGCTTCCTCTGGGCCCTCCCTCTTCTGATAGTGGGGCAGGGGAAGAGAGGTTCTGCCCCCCAGTTCAGAAAGGCTGGATTTGGGGGAAGGTGTCAGCATCTGATAAGCAATCTATCCGCCCAACCCCGAGCTGCAGTTGGGTCTTCCTGGGAAGGTGGAGCTGGTCTTCCGCCTCAACCTGTCTTTTACAACTGGGTGAAGCCAACAAGGCTGAATGGGGAGGGGGAGCACTTGGCCTCTCCTTTTCTCCTGGGGGCGTTGACCTCCTGCCCTCCACTCTCGTCTGCTGATGCCCTCCGGCCTCTGCTTACAGGGTCTTCTTCGAGGTGGCCAAGACGGAGCCAGTGAGCATGCAGGCGCTGGAGGGCGCTTTGTGGAGCTAGCCCCGGGGCCAGGATTTGCCCTGCCTGGACGCTGCAGCCAACCTACCCTGTAAATAGATGTTCAGCCTTTGAAGCCTGTAAATAATTGTTTTTTAATGATGAAGGAAAAAAAGGAAAACTGTTGTGGGGAGAGAATTGTGTGAAGAAAATAACAAGCTTTCAATAAAAGAATGTGAGCGCAAACCGTCTGCCTTCAATGGGCACCCCAAGAGCCCCTTCCTTTGCTGGGCAAGGCCTGCGTGTCACTGGCCTGGCTCGGGCGGAGGGTCTCGGCCTGAGGCCGCAAGTAGACGCCAGCCCCAGAGCACTGCCCAGGGGGGCATTCCCTACCTCCGTGTTCACACACATAGGCACACCCAGGGAATGTGGAAGAGAAGACAACATTATTCCAAGATCAAATCCAAGTTGAGATTTATTTTGTCACCATGATGCCTGACATTTGGGACCACAGTCCAGGGTCTTTCCCCCAATTTAAAGACCAGCATTTCACATTGACTTATTTTTCCAACTTCCATCCTGCATACTCAGGCAAACTGACTGCCCACTCGACTGCCTCAGAGTGGCTCCAGTCTCTCCCTCCCTGTCAGGCTATCGGGAAGAGCAGCCAAAATGCACGGAGGGGGTTAAATGGACATCTGAAAGCAGCCCCCCCCCTTTGCTAGGCTGCACTGGGTAACTCCCAGATGATGCAGTAGCCAAAGGATGTGCAGCTGGAGAGGGACTCCAAGCTGGAGGGGGGCACAGTTGGAGGGGGGGCGCAGTTGTCCCATTGCCCCATCTTTATTGGGGCGGAGATTCTACCAGGTGGCGACTTAAGGCTTTCTTCTTCTCCTGACTTCCTTTGTGGGCAGCTGCCCATCATTCTGGGCCTCTAGGCAACTGCAGGCAAATCCCCCATGGTGGCATCTCTTCCCATCTGCTTGGCAAATCGCAAACCTGCTGCTTTCCTTGGGCGTTCCTCCTTTCCGTGCCTGTGAGCTGAAGAGACCAGCTGCTTTGCACCGAGAACCAAGCTGGTTGGTTCATTTGCAGCAGAAAGGGGTATGCCAACGTCTTCACTCCTTGCACACTTTCAGTACAAATCGCTGTTGCATATGGAGACACAATCACAACCAGCTCCCAGCAGAGGGGCCCTGCCCAGCTGTGCACACATACCTAACATGGGGAAAACCTGGCCCCACTGGCTGCTGGTCCACTTGGCACGGCAGAAGCGATCTCTCCCTGCAGCTGCCCTCCGGGGCCAACAGTGGGTCTGCCAACACTGAGCTGGAAACCAGGCTGGGAGGTCCAAGGTATGCTGGCTGCTGTCTCAGCCAAGACAGCCACATGCCCAAGTGCCAGTGGGGTCCTCCAGTGGAGACAAGGCAGCCCTCCCAGCAGCTCTGTCTAAGGAGCTGGTCAAACACTGGGCCAATCAGCTGGCGCATGGCTTCTCTGACGCAGCCCAGCCAAGCCCCTCCACACTGGAGCGGTCCAAAGTGGCTGAGAGGCTCTTCCAGAAAGCTCCAGGCCCTACAGACAGATTCCAAAGTGCATTTGCGCAACATAGGTGAAAAATAAATTATGGTATATATTACTCTTTAAATAAATATCTTTCCAAGGTATGTACATTTTTAACGCTTTCCAACACTCTAGATCAATGTGCCAAAGATGTAGAGGGAGAACAAGAGTTGGAGAGAGGGGTGCAAGAGCAGGCTAAGCTGGCCCCACGGGGCCCAGTCTGCTGTGCGTGTGGGAGGCGCAGCACCGACTGCAGCCTTCAAAAGGCTTCCTGCTTTCCCAGGGTTCCCTATCAGTAACGTGAGGGGTGTCTCATTTGAGTATCTGCCTCACAAGGAATGCTTTAGAAGCTGAAAGTTTAGTGACTTTGGATCAGGAAAGAAAACTGGATCTGGAATTATCCGCCTGCTGAACTGCAGCATGGATGCCACCAGGGAGGCTTCAGGGACCAGTGAGAAAAAGTTTTATTTAAAACAACTGCAAGGAGCTCCGTGGCCATCCAAAAAAGGAGGGCAGACACCAGAGGGGGCCACTGCCAGAAGCGTGGGGGAAAGGACCAGTTGGGCAGGGGGTCAGCAGCAAAGGCAGAGGCCTTTTGCTCTTGCTCAAGGGCACCGTTGCTACCGTGGACAAACTGGAAAAGCAGAACTGCTTGGGCGACTATTGCTAGTTAAGAAGGCTTCCCTTGCCCAACTCTGAAACTGGCATGTCAAGAAGAGGGTGTTGGAGGCACCCCAGATAGCACTCCAGCCAGTTGCCATCAGCCTCCCCGGCCCTGGCACAAAACCAAGTGCGGCACATCCACTGGGTGTGACGTGATGAAAGAGAATCGCTTAAGACCCCCCACCCTTGGGTTCCGGGGAACAATGGCATGCGTGGAAAGAAGCACAGTTCAAGCTTAGGAAGGTGACCACAGTAGCTGCCATGTGGGGGGCCTGGGAGACGTGGAGGCCAGGAAGGGCGAGCACAGCCAGGCCACCATCTTTGGCAAATGTGGAAATGTAAACTCCAGTGGTCCGCACAAGAAGACCTCAGCCCGGTGCTGGCGAGGCCTGGCAACTCTGGTGGACACAGTGAAGATGGATGATGGCCACCTAGCCATCTCCCTCAGAGGACCTTCTCTACTGCTGCCCGGCAGGGTCCTTAATTCCCTGGAGGATCCTCTTCACATGGCCCACTTTTGATATCCCAAGTTCCTGCAGGGGGGGGGAGAGAAGAGAAGAGCGCCACTCAGGGAAGCACCGAACCGCCTCCCCATTCAGTGGGCCCTTCCCCTCCCAGCTCTTCAATGATCCTTTTGCACCACTAGATGCTCCATGCAAGGCAGGGGGTCAACTGCAGAGCCCCACCTGGTTTGTTCTGTAGCCATCCTTATGCCAAGCTCCCACAGGGCCCCTCCCATTCAAGGAATGGCTGGGGTATAAGAAGCCTGCCCCTTCTCCCACCCAGAGGGCTGATCTGCAGCCCCTCCTTGTGCCTTTGTGGAGGGGCAGGCAGCAAGTGGGGGCAGCTTGGCCCTGCGACAGGCAAGCAGGAGCAGTGGCACCCCCTCTCCTCCTCTCCCCCCCCCCGCAGGCAAGACTGCATGGCGTACCTTCAGGTCTCTCCTCTCCAACAGGATCAGCTCAGAGCCCTGGATGTCATGGCGCATGAAAAGCTCTTTGTATTCCCCTAAATCAAGCACTTCCAGCCAGGCGGCCACCTCCGCTGGACCCCAACTGTCCACTGGCAAAAAGGAAAATTACAGGATGGTTGGTTGGGGAAGGAAGGAAGGAAGGAAGGAAGGAAGGAAGGAAGGAAGGAAGGAAGGAAGGAAGGGGGTGAAGGCAGAGGCAGGCACATAGCAGCATAGTCAGAAGAAAGCTCAGGCAGGGGGACGCAAGGGAAGAACAGCAGGAAGCTGGGGAGGGGGAAGCAGACTTGAGTGTGAGAAAAGGACAGCCAGGTGAGGCTCTGTTCACCCAACATGCTGAACCCACTTGCCACTAGCCAGCCTCCCTTGAAGCCGTGTGCAGTACAGGCTCAGCCCCCCCAGGATTCGTCGATAGGTCTGGTGCTTGGGCAAATGTAGGAAAGCTGGTTCACAGCCTCCTGTGTGAATGTGCCCTGGCAGAGGGATCAAAGGGGCTGCTCCCCCATGGGGGAGTGGGCTTCCTCGGCTTCCTTGGGGAAGCGTCACCCCTTCCCCAAAGCAGACAGATGCTCCCCAAATCTAGTCTCAGGTTCTTCCTCTGCACGGGGAGGCAGTTCTTGTAGCCTGATGTGACACCTACCCTGGGCAGGAACTCCAGCACTTCTGGCCTTGGGCATCTGCACCCCTCTAGATGGGCTCTGCCTTGCTCTGGGGAAGCAGCACCCAGGCCACCAACTGCTTCCCACCCCACCCCCACCCCAGTTATGGGGATGCTGCACCATCATGTGGAGTGAGCTACCTGGCCCTCCCCAGTGCTCCTTTATCCAGATGCTGAGGTGTCACATCCTGCCCTTCTGGGTTCTGGGAAGGTCACCAGGTTACCTGGGGTGGCCCCGCCAGATCTCTGCTTCTGGAGCTTCTCCTTCTCCTTCTTGGGCTTTGCAAGATTGATCCGTAGCTTCAGGCTGCCCTTGTTGCTGCTCCCAGGAGCCTCCTGGCCCACTACCTGCGAGGAGGAGAAACTGCTGCTAGCAGAGCTGGGACCCTCCATTTTCTGCCTCCCTTCCCAGGACTTTGCCAGGGCATGGCAGCCGACAGAAGGGAGGCGGTGGCAATGGCCAATATGATTCGGCTGCCTTCCCTGCTGGCTGGCTTGGACACCCAGCACCTCTGTCGCCCAGCCTTCCCACTCTGGAGCCTCCAACAGGCCGGCCAAAAGCTGGCCTGCCTGGGGACTCCGGAGGCCTCCTTCCAAGGCAGCCATCTGTTTCTGCCTGGAAAAGCAGCCACAGGCTTTCTGAGAAGCCATCCCCACCTGCACATGTGCCCACCTCCTCAACTAAGCTCAAGACGGGGGCCATCCAGTGGAGGTCAGAGAACTTCTGCAGCTCCTGGCTGACGGTGTCCAGGGCCTGGTGGAGGACATCCTCTTGCTGGGGCGAATCCAGCTGCTGTGAGAAAGGCTACTGAGAAGGGCTGCCTTTGCCCCAAGAGAGGGCAAGGGATGTGTGGGGCACACGGGCATGTCCAGTGGCCTCTGCTCTGCACTCACCTGCTTTCCTTCCAGGAAAGCCTGGGTTTCAGCGTACAAGGCCTTCACACTGACAGACACCTCCATAGCTGTGCTCCGGCTAACCAGCTGCAGCCCCCGGCAGGAAAGAAAGGAGTCAGCAGGGGCTGACAGGGAAAGGCATGCCACCAGCAGCCAGGGCTGAAGGGAGAGACACCCAGGGAGCATCCCCAGCCCTGCAAGTGGGTCCTTCCCACTTGGGACAGCTCCCGACACTCACCTCTGGAGCCCCACTGCTGCTCTTGCAGGCCAGGACCTCGCTCAGGGCCAGTGAGCTGCTATTCACGGCATGTGCCAACTCCTGCTCCATGCCTTTACGGGACTTGGCGGCCTCTCGGATTCTGCAAGGGAGAGGGAAATGGCCTCTCAGCCACAGA